GAGAGAGAAAATAGAAGGTGAATGAAYAGAGTACATGAAGAGGATCAGAGGGAAAAAAGAGGGGAGGGTATGGGAAAATTACTGGAGCACAGAATGTAACAAATTATGCTATGCCCAATATATATACCAAATTAGATGGGAGAATTCCCCAGCATCCCCCAGTGGAGAGAGTTAAAGTAGAAAAACCATGACAGCTTACAAAATAATGTTTGAACTTCTTAAGTGTTAAATTACAAATCCCTGCAATTTATCTTTGTCTTCATATTGCACTATTTTTCCCATTTTCCCCTTTCTTCACTTTACATTTTTTTGCTGGTTCTTGGTACAATTGCTTGTAGATTAACCAAGACCAATTAGCTCCTTGGGCTATACTATTCACTTGGTTGGTGAGTACCCATACTGTGACTTAGTCTGGACAGAGAGGGGACACTAAACCAGAATGGGGTAAAACAATCTTCCTCTCAGAAGGTTCTGCAATTGAAACTCCAGGGGGGAAAGGCCTCTATTTCAAAAACCTGAGCAAGAAAAATGAATTTTCAATAAAACACATATTACACCAACTACTTGATACTGATTTYGAGGGTCTGCTCAAATTTTGTGTTTTGTCAGAATTGTCTCTAATTTTATCAATTAATTGGATCCTCTTTTAGTATATCATTTCTTCTCTCTGATATCCTTTCCTTTCCCATATCATATCCTTTATRTTCACCTCATTTTAACTTGTGTGTCCATTCTTTCCAACACCCTCTTTTTTTTCCTTTTTAATTCTAGTTTCTTTATTTTTAATTTGTCCAACTTTCCAATGAAATCTAATATACCACTATTAACACTGAATTTTCTCAGCCCATTATAAAACAGTACTCATTAGTCAATAGAGTTTTAGTGATCAGTAAAAATAACTTCTGTAAACATTAGGTTGCTGTATGGTTTGCTCTTAAATTACCATTCTATGAGTGGCTACTTTCTCCTTTCAAAGGGATACCAATGATACGAATGATTGAATTACTATTTTAAAATTCTAATTGGATATGGAGTCAAGGGCTTATTCCTGAGACATAACTACTTACAAAGGACCCTCACATAAAACAGGAAGAGGAAACMATCTCAACAGATGACCAAAACAGGACCCCAGATAACATGAGCAAACATGAGCAAAAGGGACAACAGGATATCTACAAAAAATATGTAACTTACCAATAACTGAATTCACAGATTTAGATGCAGATGAGGTGTCAGAGAATTAAAAACTTTAATGATTAAAATGATCAATGAACTAAAAGCATGCCTAGGAAATTAAAGAGGATAGAAAATATCAGAAGTGGAAGAGCATTTCTAGATAAGCAGAAATTATAGATAGCTGGATAAAGTAGGTCACTATGGGCGCAACTTTAGGTTTATATTTTGTCCATAGTGAGTGGAGCTGTCCTTCTGCTTCCTGGTTGCCGTGACCTGAACTGCTTTCCCCCACCATGCTTTTCTGTCATGATGTTTTGCCTCATCTTGGGTCCAGAGCTGTGGAGTCGGCCAACCAAAGACTGAGCCTCTGAAACCATGAGCCAAAATAAATGTTTCCTTTTCTATGTTGTTCTTGTCAGATCTGGAGTCACAACAACAACAAAAAAAAGTTGACTAAAAGAGAAATTGGTATTGGAAATGGGGCCATTGATATGACTAACTTTTCCATGTGGCTCAGAAGTCTTTGGAATTGGTTTGATGGGGGAGAAATCTGAAGTTTAGAGATGCAAGTTACTAATCCCTCAGAATGTTGTAAGTGGAGCTTAATGGGTGATTCTGGTGAGAACCCAAAGACCAGATTGTAGATAGGACTTTGGAGAGTTAAATGGGGCTAATCAGGTTTCAAAGGATGGGACTCTTGGAAATTGAACTGGAGGACATTTATATTATGTTCCAGCAAAGAAATGGTCTACATTTTGCCAATGTCCTGAGACTTTCAGTGAGGCTGAATTTAATAGTGCTAAACYATTAATCAGGCAGAAGAAATTTCAAGGCTACACAGCATTCAGGCTGTGTCATGGATCTTGATAGTGACTTTTAGCTAAGTGTACTATGATAATCAGAAGCAGAAAGAAAAGAAGAAAGATTTGAAAAATTGTAGTTTGGCGGAAAAGTCCAAGTAGAACTGGGGCTACAGAATTTGTGGTTGTTAAAAAAGATTATAGCCAGTAAAGGAATGCTAAGTACTTTAAAAATGGACAATAGGAAACATGGCTTGAGAGCCTTTCAGGAATTGGGAAAATCACATCTACCTCAGGGTTAAGGATATAAAAGTAAAAATTTTTTGAGCAGAGACCATGGGAATACCCTACTTGCACAAGGAGCTAGGAAGATATTTCAATGTGCAGAATAATGCAGTCAGAGAGATTGCTGTATCCATGGTCCCTTGAGCCTTGTTTGCTGCAAATCTTGGTGTCAACCATGTAGTATTGGTACTGCATTAATGCAAGATTCTGGAATTAGGGAGTCATGAAGGATTCCACCAAGATTTCAAAGGAAGATCTGGGAGGACAGGCAAAGTGGAGCAGAGTCAGATTCCTGTGCAAATAGCCCCTTAAAAGGCAATTTATGATCATAAATGAACTAAACACACACTTCTCAAAAGAAATACAAATGGTCAAGTATACGAAAAAATAGCATTTTAGCAATTAAGGAAATTCAAACTGAAATGACACTGAGATTTAACCTCCAATTAGATTGTGTGTCATCAAGAACACAAAAACTGGAGCTGGGGATGTGGCTCAAGCGATAGCACGCTCGCCTGGCATGTGTGAGGCCCGGGTTCGATCCTCAGCACCACA